TAAATATGTGAATTAACAGAATTTACAGAAGGGAATTTACTACATGAAAAAGTAGTGATTTTATTTGTCTATGTAATTAAATAACCAATAAAGATAGACGGATTTCGACCCTGGGACAAGACCTTTTATAATTACGTTTAAATCAAAGCTCTGGGCTATGTAGTTTCTGGAAAGAAAAGATCTTTTAAATCCAATGAACTACTTTTACAGCTTTGTACTTTTAGTACATGTTGTGAAATAATATATGATAAACAAGATCAACAAGATTAGTAAAACTACTACAAAGTTAAGGAAAAAATAGTGGACGATCTTAAATCACTACAAACGACAAAATTTTTTCTAATTTGAGCTGAAAAAGAAGTCTTCGTAAAAATAAGTCCTCTTTTTTAAGAAATACCATGTAAGTATAATCTGTTTAAACTACTGTAACAGTCTATTGTTCATAATTTAGGTTCAAGCCGGTGGTAGGGGACGTAAGGGATGTTTCACTTAATTATTATCCCTCATATACAGACTCAATCAAACCGAGTCTGCATTTTTCCTATAATTTAGTTATGATTAATGCTTTCGGGGAATCACTTTGGTTCCAGATTTTTATACTTCACAACAGCAGGTGTCAAGTGCTGTGTGGTAGCAGTAAAAAGTTGCCCCGTACTTCACTTTATTGTTGTTATATTTTTTTGTTCTTCGGGATCATTGATGGCAGCACTTTTACCGTGTTGAGAAAAAGAGTACCGTTCAAACCGGTGCTAGGGGGGCGTAAGGGATGTTGCACTTAGTCATTATCCCTCATGTACGAATTCAATCAAGCCGAGTCTGCATTTTTCATAAAATTTTGTTGTGATTAATGCTTCCGAGTGATCATTTTGGTTCCAGATTTCTTTTTTGTTACCAAAGATAACACCATACCTGTGCAGAGCTGATTAGAGTGCCATTTAAAAGAGAAAAAAGATACTCAAAAATTTGCTTTTAGTAACTCATTATATAAAATTTAATTATTTTATTTACTGAAATATTCATCACCATAATTCATAACTTAAGTAAACAATTCTGTCATTGTTTTATTTTCTGCGGTATTCAGATAAAAGTTCAATACTGGACTGACATTCTTGTTTTGTATGATATGCCAATTGGAATGCTCACAAAAGCAAAACTGTAATTTATAAAAGTAGTCATAATTCGTATTATGCTAGCAACTATTCACCGCGTTGTCCATTCGACTTTCCTACCTTACGCCACACTCTTGTCTGAAAAATGAGTTACGGAAAATAATTGAAATAGCAGAAAAAACATTGAAATGTCAAGGAATCCTAACTCTCCTTTATCATTAAGTAAATGATGCTTTTCCAGATAATAACTTCTTTATTATCTGTTATACTAATATATCTATTGGCATAAAACGTTTGTATAATTTGTAGAATATTATACACATAACAGAAATATCTTAAAACGAGTATATAGGTGGAGAAACTGTATTTGGCGAATTGCCAAATAAGTCACATATTGTACAGAACAATCAAAAATCCTTTTGATAACGAGGAGACAAACTGTGATTCTCATATGGTATACCTTTGTCCCTGAAGTTAGCTCTAGACATGACATGGACAATTTAAAAGGAACCGTTAGAAAGCCACATTTACATTATTAAATGATATAGTTGAAGATCATTATTACTATAATGATGCAAAATAAATGTAAATGTTTTCGAATTTTGATTGATATTAACACTTTCTATACAATGGGGTATATACTGTGTAGAAACCGATTTGCCCACAAATAAAAATGTATTTTTATGAAATGTATAAACATAGAAAGCATGATTCAGTCATAAATATGTTATTCCGAATGATTTCAACTTCACGAACTTAAATGTTTGAATTAACATTTTGTAATCAACAGTTTTCTATTATACACATTTTTCTAGTACATGTTACAGTGATTGTTAAACGTTTGACATATACATATATGCAATGATGCTCATTTGGTGCCACCAAGAATTCCTATTAAATACAAATCATTTTATTTGCCAAAAAGATACAGTTGTTGTTAGAATCCGAATTATTATTTACTTGTTGAACAGAATATTGTACACTTCATATTTATTTGATCAACAACGAAAAGTATTGGCTTCTTTAACTTAATGAATTTATGTCGGTCATTTATTGTGATTACCGCTTTATTCAGAATCTCCAAACAAATTTGTATACAGTATAGCTGGTTTAATGAAGGATTTGTCACTTTTTCTTAATATCTAGTATTTCAATTTCTGGTTCAAGATAAGTACACGTAAGTATTACGTGATGTTGATGTTATATTTTCGATCCTTGAAGATCGTTCGGCAGGACATAATTGTTGTGTATACATGTTATTAGGTACTATTATATTCTTCTATTGGGCCATTTTCAACCTGGGTGGTTCCAGTATTCCTACTTGAATACTGTAAAATCACCCTGAGGATATGTTGCCTGTTTTTAAATTTGTCTTTTGGCGTCTTATTTGTGATATGCAGGCTTCATAACCTCAGATACCCTTTCAAAATTCCATTTTATTTAGTTCCGCCCATTGCTTTCTCGTTTAGGGCAAAAGCATTTTTTTACTAGGGAACCATACGCCGCTTTTCATGGAATGGCACTACTGTGTCACATTGAAGGTTCCATGATAACCGCCGTATGATTACATCTGCGGATATTTCTAGATTCAAAATTTCACCATTTTCGTGTTAAATGTTGAATTCTCCTTAAACCGGTTCTAGGGGGCGTGGACGGTTACTTGCACTTTACAGTACCGACCATGAACAGGAGCCTGCAACATTTTCAATTTTGTTGTGTTGGACTTTCTTTAGGGATTCTGTTTTTCTCTATTCGACTGTATACTTCGTACAATTTGATGTATCAAACAGTAGGTATATTAAGCGGACATTATACTTATTACATTCTTGTAATTGATATAAATGATTCACGTATGATATTTCAACGAAATAGACATTAGAAAACGAGATAGATTCTTGCAGAATGTTACAGAAAGGCCACAAATCAGTACATGGAGTGTAGCAAGGACTCGTATGTTCTTAATTTATGACATCATACAGCTTGAATTGCCTGCGTATCTGTGTAAAAGGTTATGCGTTAATTTTTTCCCTTTTAGATTTATATAAGACATTGAATTCTGGACTCTGAATTCAATACCTAAATCCAAGTTGTTTCTATAAAATTAATACTGTAAAGGTTTATATTCTTTTCATCAAGTGGTATAATATTTCATGAATGGTGGTAGCCAAGAGTGAAATATGATAATTTTCATACCACAAGATACAAATAAATCCCGAATATTAGAAAAGAAACTCGAATTTTCTGATTAATATTATGTGCATTTTTTTCCATTTTTGACATTACAATTTGAAAGAATTTCCCATAAATTCTGTGAATTGGCTAAATTTATTTGATTCCTACAAGACACCAGAGAAAATACGGAAAATTTGTTTTGCTGCAGTGAAAATATTTTTTTTTCAGTAAAAATACGGAAAATGAATGTGGCAAATAACAGTATCAAGTTTGATCAGATTGCACATATGTCAAGGCTAGGCGTGCTGTATAATGGTTGGAAGTCTTACATGTATAGATATAGGGCTAGATATAAAGAATTGAATGACATATTACTCAAAATCATCATTTAATTGTATTGTGTAGCAACACGTTAAAACAGTTTGATTTTTTTTCAATTATTTACATAACCAGCACAAAAATTAAAAATGTTGTAAAGTAATATGGTGTAAATGAAAAAAACAATAAACGTAAACTATGTACAATTTACACAAACGCGAATGGTCATTATTTTTCAGAAACACTTAAAGTGGATATTATTTTGAAAAATAATAATCTAGAAATACATGTCTTAAATATATGTTTTAATATTTCATGCAGGAAATCATTGATAAAGGTCTAAAACCATACTTAAAATAGCGGCATAATATTTTGTTCCGAAACGTGACACTAGTATTATGTTTATGAGAAATAATTGTGTTTTTAAATACAAGAGACATTGTAATTGTATATTAATTAAGAAATGATATCGGTCTTAGCGATGTTTATCGGCTATTTAACACCGGTTTTGAGTAAATGCGTAGTAATAGACCACGAGGCCGGTTTCCGTGTTGTCTATATTGAAAAAATCACGAGCAGTGTTAGAATAATTATTATAGAATCAATCATAATATCATTGGAACAAAATTTCATTGTTTATAAAGTTATTTAATAAGATATGCTTTTGTACACTTTTAAAATTTCAAAACTGCTCCATTTAAAAGTGTACCGAAAATATAAATGTGAATATTTTCAGCTGAAAGAAATGAAAGAATGGAATCTTATAATTATTCAATTGATTTTGTAAACAAAGTGTTACAAGTATAAAAATTAATAATTATATATAATTTTCACTGAAACAACATCTTTGGTTAATTATAAAAAAATATTAATTATATATAATTTGCCCCAAAACAACATCTTTGATTAATTAGTGACCTATGGTTATTCCATTAAAGTTTAAAAAATCATTAATTATTAACATAACACAACTTAATACATCATATTTGTTTCAACATTGCAGGCAACTGTAATTATAAATGTAATTTTCTTTAATCACTGTTATGCCAGTTATACTCCTCATCTTCCTAAATGCGCAAATACTTTTTACTTGATAGGAAACGGTATTTATACATACCACAACCAATCGTCAAATGAAAATAATACATATTTAAAATATTTAATAATAAACAAAGTCTTGTATCTTTTTTCAATTCGTATATATGGTTATGTTAAGTTGAGCACTTTTCACATATTTCCATTCATTGCGGCCCTTTTTTTTCTTAAATATAATTTTCACTAAAAAAATATGTATTAAAATTTTTACAAAATTTAGAAAAAAACTAAAATACTCCCCAAAAAAATACGCTTTCCCCTTATACGTACATTTAAAATATCTTTAACGTGTCGCTAACAGTAAAATTAAAGTGTAGACACCTTTCTCCGTTGAAAATACACACAGTTGTCTTTAGTGTTAGAAGAAAATACATTATTTTCTACCAGTTCTTTCCTAAAGGCAGAGCTGCCCTGGCACCGCGTTTCTAAGAAACCACTACTGTCAACTTGGATACAACGGTACTTTCCATTCCAATGAAACAATTTGAAGAACGCCTTCCTGAATGTACTTCCAAAAAAGTAGTACACGAAAATATTGATGGCTAATGACAGATAATAGATAAGTTGAGATATGGAATGAAGGGTTAGATCAAGTGAACCTGTAATTCCACTTTCGTCTTCGGTAAAAGCAATAACCATTAGACGTAAGCGAACAACATGGGAAGGCATGTTCAAAATAAAAAATATAAGTGTCACTGCAAGCAGCATTGTCGTCACCTTTGTCATAGGGCTGGAACTTTTTCTTTGAACTGACGTAAGACTTAACCGGCGTCTAAACCTACATGCCTGTAATGACGTCATTGCAATTTTGGTCATCAACACTGACATTATCAGTGTTGGAAATACTAAAGTAAGTATACTGTCAGCGTAAACCATAATTCGTATAAAGCTATAGTGTTTTTCATTTGGCACACATTCGTCGCTAAATGTCCACAGAGGAAAGTTATAAGAACACAACACACAAATAAATAAAATGACTACAGCACCTTTGGCATTTGATGCTTTGCAAATTCTTTTGACCATATATGGTTTGCAGATCCGCACATAGTTTTCAATTGTCACGAACACGACAAGCCAGACCGAAAGACATCCGAATACGTAAGTCAAAAATATCAAAGACTGGCAAATTCCTGATATTCTACTTAATTTAAGGTCAAGAGCTGATGTTACCCACACAATAAGAAGAATAAGGATGAACCCATTGTCACTTATACTCCTTGATGCAAGGAAAAGACTGCATGATTTCTTACGCAGTGACTTTTGTAGGAAAATAACAATTGAACACGTATTGCCGACAAGTCCGAGAACACATATAACAGGTATTGTAAAACGTTCCACAAGTGTAACCCATGTGATCGGACCGTCAACTGTCCCAGTTTGTAAAGAGCTATTGGTTCCGCCAGTGTCTGTGGAACCCGATATGTTAGGAAACATTGTGAATCTGAAAATAAAAAAATTAAAACCTGAGAACAATCAGGCTAGTTTTTTGTTTCTATTCTATATAAAACATACCATAGTTTTAAAACGATTTATTGAAAGCTTCTTTGAATTATTTATTCATGCCTGTGTTCAGGAACTATCCCAGAACAGTTGATAAACTGCTGTCAAAATATTGAAAGGCAATATTACCATTCAATTACAAGAAGACCATTTGCACACTAAATGAGATAAATGATGTGTTACGATTTTAGACAGAAATTATTTAAGACAGACGTTCTTTACTGTTAAAAAGGAATCATCAACTCATCTGAACAGAAACTTCACGTTAATATTTATTGTTACTGTAAGTTGATACGTTATATGAATGTTTTAAAAGCTATTCCGTTCGTTAATTGAATTACACAAAGTAAATTTGCTTTTTTATGGCCCGGCTTTTACAAGGTTAATAAACTAGGTTAATATTTACCAGTCATAAGTTTACTTGCAATATGACAATCAATGATTTTATAATGGAAATAAGATTTACTGCTTTATTAAAATGCTTTTTATATTTCATACCATAAGTCTAGATGTATGAAGATTGTTACAACAAAAGACATTTTTCATTCAATTTAAAAAAAGTTTTGCTTTAGATAAAATATTTTACTGTAAATAATGCAATTTCCTTAGTTGAATAGTTAGTCTGTTTAAAGTGTAAAGCAGTTCCGATGCTAGGAAAACGTCAGGAAATGTCAAGAAGAAATCATGGATTAGATTATAGCGTATTGAATTAATTACATGCAAACGATGCTTTTAAGATAGATATGTTTTTGTTATGATGCTTGCGGAAAAATCAGACTTTAAATTTTGGTATAAAAAGGATCAATGTCCCTACAAAATATAAACTATTAAAAGTGCATATGAACATCGGTTATATTTCAATGAGTATTGATGCTATGTCGTATTGTTCGTTGAATAGTTCCTAGAAAACCTGGTATGTGAGCATCTGTTATATTTCATAATAAATAACGAAATCGTATATTTTACATAGCAATATGTTATCTAGCGTATGGCTTAAATTACATCCATAACGACCGAATTACGTCATCACAAGCACGTATACGTAGTTCTCAAAATTCGAAAACAGGGCTCCATCAGCTATTCTGATCTTTAACTGTAGCTGTTGTAAGATTTATGAAATATTCAAAACAAATTATTGCATGTTGTGAAACATTCTATGTAATGTTTATAAAGCAAGAGAATGATAAGATTAATTATAGAAACTTGATGGTAGATGAGAGTATTATGCTGAAATTAATTTTAATAATCTTTACATTTTTTTTCTTTTATTACTGTTCATTTTTTATTTAACAAATTTGGCACAAAACGGCGTGTATGAAATAATATCGTGTCTAAGAAAATTCTGTTTGACTTAAATGCGACGTAAATGACATCATAATGTCGCTGATTATTTGAAGAAAACCCTCATTTCAATACAAAAAATTAAAACATTTTAATTTCTATTCATTTAGGTTTTGTTATAATAACTTCAGTCACGACAGCAATGTTATCATTACTGTAATTAGCTTATTTGATAAAAAGTTGTTGACTTTAGTTAAAACTCAGTACTAATGCCCTTCAAAAGATGGATAATTGTTAATTCAATATGCTGTTTTGTCACCAAACTTGTACCAAACATTTTTGAGACTTATTTAAAGTATAAAATTCTGAATAAACGATTCATCATATATTTTTGAATTTGTTTAAATTGACTTCACGCATTACAGCAATTTTTAGGTTAGTTCAACTGTTGTATATCTATTCAAAACATAAAAATCATAAAACATTGCATTTCCGAAATTGATAATTAATGATTTGTGCCTAGACAAACTGCCTTTTTTACAATCCAATCTGCGAGTAAAACATTATCTGCGGAAGTCACTTTGCGAGTTATGATCTGGAATATACTTGGCACACCGCACCTAAACATTGTCGTCAATTTGTATTTTTTAAGCATATAAGCATGTTTATTAAAATGTTTAATTCAAATACTAGCAATGCCCATTTTGAACACCGTTTTATGTTTATTAAACTTGTTAAACTTGTTAAATATTTGAAGTAAGAAAGAAAGCTTTTATTTTGAAAAAAAATGAATATAATACTACTTAAACGACAATGTCGTAAAAACCTTGATCGGATTTGATTTGTGTTTTGTAAAATGATAGTGCTCTATTAGATAAGTAACATCATCAATTTGAAATATGAGTTTATATCATTCATATTTTGTTTGTTATATTATTGTAATAAATTGAATGGAACAGAAAATGAGCACAACTTGTTGTTTACTATTATCACAAGCTCGTTTGTGTTATTTTAATTTGTAACAGTTTTTTTGAATGTGTAAAATCGAATCATTAGTCTTCCTTTTAAGAATTTATAGTTTTTGTCAAGCTGAAATATAGTATAGTATTGTTTTTAAACATTGAATATGTGCTTAAACTCATTCGTGAAGGTAAATTCGTCTAAAAGTAAAAAAATTCATAATTATTCGGCATAAAATATTTGAAAAACGAGTATGTTTTAAGAAATATAATTATTCGACAGCTTTCAAAAATATTAAAAAAAATTTACATCAAGAATCTTCATAAAAATAATGTTATATTTCATCACAGATAGTAGCAGGACTTGGCATACATCAATCAACCGTGTAATGAGTCTGTGTGAAGCTTAAAAAAATCTTTTGAAGAACGGCCAGTAGAATGACTGTTTTCATATATTTTTTATTTCGGTAATTGACAAAATTAAAGGATATCTCAGGGTACGTAGACATATGTATATAAAAATGGCAGTCACTTATTTGAATTTTCAAATACACATTGAAATTTCATTAATAAAATTTGAGCCTAAATGTAGCGTAAGCTGTTTAAATGACCGGTGGTAATATTTCTTGATAAACATTGACATGGTGTATCTAGTTATTTGAATATACATGTTATTTTACTTAATGTTAGCAAGACAAATATATATACGAATAGCATCTATTAAAAAAAACTTTGTGAAGCTTCTTACGTAAAATTATTTTTACATAACTTATCATGAAACTGAAAAAACAACAGTTCCATACATATCTAAAAATTGAAAAACGCCATCTACGTCCTCGATTAAATTGATTTCAAGTATCATAATACACATTAATATCAATTAAAAGTCTTTTAAATATTATATAAAATATACATTCTTACAACATTGTATTTTATGGTAGAAGAAGCTGTAAAAGAACTCAATCTATTTTTATATATTGAAAAGAGAAATTTGAAACATATTTAATTAACTGCATATTATATTTTAGCAAAACGATTTTTATGCTAATGTAAAATATTTATTTAAATTAGTCCAATGAATCATGTACTTACTATCGAAACCGATTTATTCCGTACCGTATTCTATCACCAATCACTATGCTATGAATATAGCTCTCAATTGATCTCACTGTTTAACAGTACGTGGCAGTGCTGCGACTTTCAAATGGATTATAAGACCAGTCACATTTACGTTATATTGGAAATTTATTATCTTCGTTTGAACTATAAACTGTATAAACTGCTTTGATTATCATAAAACTGCTTTGCTAATTTGTAAAATGCTTTGATAACATTCAAACTGCTTTAATTTGATACCGAACTTGAAATAGGGACTTCATGACTGACACCTTCCAAATTTCGTTGTTGAATTGAAGTCGATGTATTTTAATGAGTCGTTGGAAACTGTTTATTTTATTACCATGGACGGTGCAATATCTATTTTTGTAGGGAGATCTGACGGAACATATTTAAAGGGGCTTTTCGGACTGTTTAAGTACATATTTCATATTAAGCTGTTAAAACCACTTAAATTAAATAAACAGAAATCAGTCAATGTGGCAGTGTTATAATTTTGTGGCCCTCTTTGACGCCATATTGGATTTTCTTTGTTCACCTGACTTATGCCAATTTATTCCTACAAATTTATTCAAAAGGTACAAACATAATAAAACATTTTGGTTCATGATACACCTTATAAAAGTAGGATCTTCGTTCACATTTAACGATGGCCTGATTGTGACCCTATCAATTGATCTAGTTTTTTTTGGCATAAAATAAATTACAAATATTGATAAAGCCCAACCTTTAACTGGCATTAATCGATCAAAATTGGGACTTGGATGTCTTTACTTCTGTCTACTGTTTAGAAATAACGTCGCCATAATCCTTTAATATCATTCAAATGGCGTGGATACAATAGCCAAACGTTTCCCTTTGCAATCCAGATTCATATAATAACATGAATGCACATGTCTTTGAGTGCTAGATTGTATGCTTTCTTCGATCAATGCATTGTATATTTTTTAATTATATTACATCTAAACTGATTTTTATCATTTGTTTTTATTTTACTAAAATTGATAATTATTTCTTACGAGCAATTAAAATTTCTAAGATGCAAATACGGTCTTATATTATTTGTTATGTATGTGAATAAAGGACTTTATCCGAGTATGAAATAATGTATTGCGTTATTAAACTGTAATCATAACAATGATTTGTCATCATTTAGATTTAATAAAATAGAAATTACAAAAACATAACTTCTAATTAATAAATGTAATTAACAATAAATTTAAAGACGTTTAGTTAATGAGGAAAGACAACTTAATCACTGGCTGGATAAATATATTATACTGTAAATCACGTTATATACGCATAATTTTTATTTCGCGAAAAAAAAAAAACAACAAAAAAATACACACATACTTCCTGAATAATTTGGCGGATTCATGAATCGTCGACAAGATCAGATCATTAAAGACGTTTTCAGGAGTTTTCATATAGACATTTCGGCTAAATGAAAACTGTTCAATAGAATTTCTTAAAAATTTGGCATGTTGTTAGGATATGATAACAGAAACATTTTAAACGGAAAATAATCGAGGTCACCGTTCTCATTTTGATTGGTTGTGGGGGTCATTATGAACAAAC